CGTTTATTTATTTTTTTGGGGACAGAGAGAGACAGAGCTTGAACGGGGGAGGGGCAGAGAGAGAGGGAGACACAGAATCGGAAACAGGCTCCAGGCTCTGAGCCATCAGCCCAGAGCCTGACACGGGGCTCGAACTCACGGACCGCGAGATCGTGACCTGGCTGAAGTCGGATGCTTAACCGACTGCGCCACCCAGGCGCCCCTGTATTAACTCTTGATAACAAGGGAAATACTCTGAACGTTACTGTTTCAAAACACTAACTAGAAAGCTCATGGTTTGAAGGCGCGAGGTAGTTACTAAAAGTTCTTGCCTCGCTTTTAAAGACAGAGTTTATGCCCCAGAGACATCTGGCCAATTTGCAACACACTTCTAACAATTTGTTTTGAAAGACAGGCTATCTTCGAAAGATTTCAGTGCTAAGGAAAAATCTAGCTCTAAAGGTTGTAAAATGAAGATTAGGTGTGGAATGTATCCTTGAACTTAAATCCTGGTTTATCAACTGATAACTTTTCAGGAAGTTCCAATTTGATTCAGTTGTGCTTGGATGAAATAATTTGCTTCCTTTTATATGAGAAGGAAAACTTCACAGGCTTCTTCAGAACTGACTTCGTACGCCATCACATTTTCTTTCCCAGGGGTGGGGGGAGTTATGTCTTCAAATGAAAATTTGAATTATTTTCTCGAACTCTCCATTACCTGGCCAGGAAGCACACAGGCTGGCACATTGCCAAAACTGCCAATTCTCTTTGTTTCCCCGCCACTTCTAACGAACATCTCTAGATGTGTTATTCTCTTTACTTAATGGTAACCACCTTTTCAACAATGTCTGGGCCTTCCATGCAAATCAGTGCCTTTTTCTCTGTTCAACCTAATCTGTACCCTTGGTTGTTGATCGTTTTCCATCTCCTGCTTATAAGCCTATTGAACTCTGATTTTTTTTTTTTTACCTTTTTAACTTAATTTACAAAATGGGCATTATCTCCCCTTACTTGTTCCAAATCGTAATGGGGCTGGCCTGTTATATTCTGGCAGCCAACGTGAGTAGAACACTAGTGAGTGAGGTTAGTGGCTATCTAAGGAGGTCAATCTAGTGATGCAGGGTGTTACTGTTATCTTTACCCAACATCAATTATGATCATCAAAAACCAGAGGGCCTCTCAGTATTCACCAACCCCTTCTCCCTTTCCACGTTTAATTCAACTAATTGTACCTCCAAAGCCACAACACTAAGATTTACAGCTGGCAAAAAAAACCACACTGAAATCCAAAGAAAGTCCAAATTCACCATGGCTGTTAGATCCAAGAAGCAACCTTGCTCCACAATGTGACTTTGAAAGCAGCCAAGCCCTTGTACATGAAGGACAGAGTTTACCTTAAGAAGTGGGTTGAAGGAAACTCCGGTACGTGGTGAGAGGTAGAAACTCTACAAACTCAGTTTCGTGTCTTCCCAAGTCTTCAGTATGAGAATAATTGTATCAGACCTACTCGCTATCAGGAAAAAGGAGAGGAAAACTTGAACAACTCTGCAATCGGGTACTGACTGAGGATCTTTGCCTCACTTCTTCCATCCTCTGTAGAATCTCTCCTTTCGGTTTCACTGTTAAAGAAAAAGCTGTTATGTGAAATGAAAATTTTAATAGAATGTGTGCCAGAAACTTTCCA